GTTCATTTGATTGTTTATCTAAGGAAGCGAATGTTCGGAAGCTGTTCAAAGTCATCTCGAAGAAGCGCAAGATTTGGGCCGCCCAGGCCAAGGCAGAACGCCGTGCCGGGCTTGCGAGAAAAGCTCGCGGCGAGAAAGATGATGAGGATGAAGAGGAGCCCGAGGAGGAGGAGGACGATGCCACGGAGCATTATAGTGATAGTGCAGGAGGAGATGACGATGATGACAAGGGTGGCAAGCCGCCACCACGTGGGAATCCGGGCAAGGGATCCAAGACGGGAAAAATCCCCAAAGATGCAGATGATGAAGAGGAAGCTGGAGCTGAAAAGGGCTCTGAAGATGATGGTGCCAATGGAGATGACAATGAAGATCACGATGAAGATGACGCCGAGGAAGAAGGAGCAGGGGAAGGAGAAGAGGAGGAGGATGATGATGCAGAGGATGTTGAGGTACTGGGTGTGGGCTCGGCTACGGTTCACATGTCACAGAAGAGGGCGAGGCTGAGCGAGATGCATGCAGAGATAGCTCGCTTGAAAGCTTCCCTGCCACTGGCCTGAAGTACGGCTGTCTAGATTGATCCGTTGATATGGATACATTCGAGTATAATCTTTTAAAGCAGCTACAGCTAAGGCGACTTGGTTCCGGCATGTCCGATGATGCTGAGGGTGCTTTGCCTGCACAAATACGTGCTAGCCAGCTTTGTGTGTGTGAGTTTGCCTGGGCATGATTGTGATCAGGTCCCATTGAGATTCTGGATAGCCCGCGGCCTTTGCCTTTGCGCAAAAGCCGAAGCAAAGCACAAGTGAATCCGGATCAGGAGGCGACTTTTGTTTGTGAGTGTATAACAGTGGGTTTAGTTCTATGTTGCCGTGTTAGATTGGTCGGTTTAAAACATTTCCCAGGAGACGCAGCTCTTGCCGAACAGTCCCGGGACGAGCTCATGCGAGACCCGCGTGCTCCCGGGAGATGGACTTGATCATCGCCCCCCAAAGGCAGAGACAGAGTGACAGTTTGGGATTTGGTTGCAGCAGAGAGAAGTTTGTGTTGAAAGGTTGTGTGAATTGGTTTCTCATAAATGAACAATGAGTCTATATATTGATTAATCTACACTAGAGTCAGAGTTTGCTGCTCAAGTTCGAGATTACATCGTTAAGCAACGATGAGGTCGTATACGCAGCTTTCTCAGTGAGAAATCACATAATAATCATCCGCATCATTATTGTCTGTGCCCAGCTGGCACTAAAACAACTACATATAAAGCTACCGCAGTTTATAGCAACTAGCATCAACAACAATAACCACGACGACAACAAATAGCACATATAGCCGCAGCAACAACAACGATAATAATAATAACAACAACGACGACAGCATATAGCTAAGAGTACCACATACTATATATAGTATAGTCTAGTATAGTAGTAGTGGTGGTGGCGGTAGTGGTGGATATAGTAGAGTACTTTAGTTCTACGTCTATATACTATACACTACACTATTACTATAGTGCTACCACTGCTACTACTGCTACCACTTCTTCTTCTACTACGATACTATACTATACTATACTATACTATACTATACTATACTATACTATACTATACTATACTATATATACTATACTATACTATATATACTATACTATACTATACTATACTATACTATACTATATTATATTATACTATACTATACTATACTAGACTATCTACTACTACTACTACTACTACTACTACTACTAATACTAATCTTACTGCTGCTATTAGTATACTACTATACTACTACTACTACTACTACTACTACAACTACTACACACTCCTGCTGCTGCTGCCGTATATACTGCGACTGCCACTGTAACATACTATACGGGAATAACATGGAGCTCTCTCTTTTCTATCTCTCTCTACCTATAAATAAACCCGTATACATAACACGTGGCATAATGCTAGGCATATCTGTGTCGACTTTCATCACTGAACATAGGTATATTCCTCGTTTACGGTGTTTGGTATGTGGGCGTCTATAGATTCGTGCTTTGTATAGTACCATACTTTGCAGAGGACTGTGTGTTATCGATGAAGTCTGTTATTGCCACGGCTTGTTTTTTGCGGCAGGTCAATGTGACGCTGTCGGCCCAGGACCAGAATGTGGCCAGTGCGGAGCAGCGGCCGAAGAAGAGAGGCCGCCCTGCAAAGAAGGCGTCCCCCAAGAAGAAGGGCTCCCCAAAGGCCAAGGCAAAAGCGAAGGCGAAAGCAAAAGCAAAGGCAGTTCCCAAGGCCAAGGCCTCGACAGCTCCCGCGGCACCGAAAGCAAAGGCCAAACCGAAGGCCAAAGCAAAAGGAAAGGCCATCGCAAGGCCTGATCAGGCCAATCCAGATGCCCCGGCGCTCGAGGAGCCAGCGGCACCGGCTGGACGTGGACGTGGTGGGCGTGGTCGCGGTGGGCGTGGCCGCGGAGGGCCAGCGCCCGCTGAGCGGGCTGGTTTGGGTTGTGCAAAGTGCCGGTACCTTAAGAACGGCTGTGGAAGATGCCGCGATCCCTCATTCAGAGCCGTGAGCCAGCGAGGCCGTGCATCCAACAGGATGTGAGATGTTCTGTTTGATTTGAAGGGAGCCATGCATGTGCTGCTGGCAGGGCAATCCTTGCTTGGCGAATCATGCACACTGGCAGGGTTCAATGCACATGGAGCCAACTTGCTAGATTGAGACAACTTAGGTGTCATTAAGGGGCTGTTGTTTGATTGCTTGTGGCCATGTGCTTATGCATTTCAGATGGGGCCTCAAATTTGTCGTGCAGTGCTTTCCTGCAGCACAGTATGCCACGAATCGAAGGGAGACGAATGGCGAGCAGAAACAATTTCATTCAGGATATAGACTTGATAGTTGGGTGTGGGATAAAATAGTGTCTGCCAGGTACAAACCAGCGCTATCGATGAGCCGCGCTTGGAAGCTTCGACGTGGCCAATCAGGTGCCTCCTCCCTGTGCCTCTCAGCAGTTTGTGTTTTCTGGAGATGGAACCATGCATTTGGTTGCTTAGATTGCACATTGGCATGTGGCAGCCTTTGGTCAAGCCCGACACCGAAGCTTTGTGTGTTGATAACATGGGACGACACTACGAGATCCTCAAAGATCTGCTGGACAATAAAGTCCCAGGAGCTCCTTGACTCAAACAATGTGTACACGTGTGGATGTGTGAGCGCAACCTTGCTTCCTCAAAGTCCCCAGCTATAGGTTTTGGTGATGTTGGTCCTCCTTCTGCTCCACACGGAGGGCCTTGATTTGAAGAAGGCCAGCTTGGAGGATCGTGCAAAGTATAATAGAGGGTTAATTATATAGTGGTGCATTGGCAGGAGTATGACGGTTGTGAAGTATGCGCCGGAGCTGGTGTTCTGAGTACTGTCTTGAGACTGCAGCGGCAACTGGTTATGCCGGCGATGGATATCACGTACTGGCAGAAGACTGCCAAATTCCATCCAACCACCCGAAATCCACTGGATTTACTTGAAGATTCAGGGTTCGCGTGCCATGGTCTTTATATTTGACGCCTTAGTTTGCATGCTGTTGAATCTGTGTTGTGGGTTTCGGTGCGAACCTTTTCCAAGGTTGTTGCTGCTGCAAGCGATGAAGGCCAAATCTGGAGCTACGTTTCACTTCGGCCTGGTATGTTCGAGCTGGGTTATGATGAGCAGATACACCACGGGGAGACGGTTTTTGTGCCCCCATGGGGATGAGTCCTCGCCCTCGGTGCAGCAAGCCAACGTGATGGTGGCAAGGCCGTTTGTGTCGTTTCATGATGTCAGCATGCCGTGATACAGACTGATGTAGACAAATCTCTGGTGTGTGCAGGTTTGTGCTACTATGCTGGGTGCTAATGGCATTGGGATGCCACTGGGTATTGGAACAGCCTGGAAGCTCTCTGATGTATAGACATCGGCGATTCCAGGAGATGCTGCGGTATGTTCATGCGACCAGTCTTGCTTCCGTTTGCATGCTGTTGGACCAGTATAAATGTTCTATATAGTAGGTCGAGTATGGTTTGTTGGGATCTGAGGTGTTTCGGCAATCCTTCTGGATGGGTTGCTTGGGGGCTCCAACACCCAAGAGATCAGTTTTATGGAGCAGCTCAAAGGCGATTTGGAAGTTCAATTCATTTGCCAAACTTACCAGGTTGGAGAAGAAGAAAAGCCGGAGATTTTTGGCACACCATTATCGGGACAAGAAGGGCAAGGACTGCTTCACCGGATGCAAGAAGAGCTTGAAGCATTCAGCGAACCTCGTCAGCATTTGTTCGGGGAGTTTAATTGCTGTTGTTCCCGCTTGACTTCGGCTGAGGAAATATCCGTTTGAATTCGCAACGAGATATTCGAAGATTTGGCCCCGATTTGCTATGGAGCCTGTTATGTGGCGCACGGATCGCAATGTGGATGCCGCTTGGTTGCTTTTCTGTGAAGTGATGTGAGGTATATGTGCCGTGCATGGTTATGTCTGTTAATACAGCAGTGATAGTCCAGGAGTTTTCGATGACGCGGGTGAAGCAGTATATTTTCCAAGAAGTCCCACGAGATGTGTGGGAGGATGCACACATTGGCAAAGTTCTGAAGTACTTGTACGGCAACAAGCGATTGCGCATCTCCGACAAGCAGAAGCAGATGTTGCATGAGATAGCCGAAAGCTACAAAGAGAGCTGATTGATGTGCTCCTGCCGCGCCAAAACTAACCGGAGCCATACTGTCATTGCCTGTGAATTCCTCTGTGGTGTCTGTTTCTTTCTGAGTACAAGTATACAAGCCCCGGTCTGGGTTCTACAGAGTTATGCAGGTTTTAAAGGTTTTTTGTAACTTTTTAAGGTTTTGTGTAACTTTTTGTGGTTTTGGGCTAAAAACCGCAGTGCCGTAAAAACGCGTGCAGTGCCGTAACTTTCTTGCTGAGTGCCGTAAAAACTCGTAGCGCCGGTGCCGGAAATTAGCACACCTTTCCGAAGCACTTTTCTTCAAGGTCTTTTCCAGGAAAATGACCAAAGGGCGTCCTTTGCGCCTCCTTTCCAACGCCGCTAGCTGTGCTAGTCTCTATAAAGGGCAGTCCTTTATGAAGAACCAAGTGAAGACTGAGCCTGGTCGGGAGAATATCGAGGAGGATCTGAGGGTTCCTTGCCATAGATAGTGGTATATAGCGTTTTGTTAGTTGTCTGATACATATGTATATATATACCCAATATGTACAGAACTTGGACAGATAAGATTGCTTCCAAGGTGGCCGCGGCGACCCTTCGAGCCCTGAAGCAGAAAGCCGAATTGCTTCAGCAGCAAGAGGGCTTGTCTGCTGCAGAAACGGGAAAGGAAGCCGACTCTTCGGCGCCTTCTGAGCCAGTGTTGGCAGACCCTGTTGTGACAACAACATGTGATATCCCCAGCCCCAGACCACCCACTTCACGACCCCGACCCGTGGCCACCCCGTCCCGCTGTTGCCTCGCTTTGCCCAGAGTCGTTTCATCTGATGCTCAGCCCACAGACTTCTTTGAAGACGAAGAGGGTGCTGATGGGCGAGAAGGAGTTCATGGGGGAGAAGGAGTTCATGATGAGGTGCCGGGGCCATCGAGCTCCATGGCTCATGCAGCAGCAGATGACGATGATGATGATGATGTCTTGATCTGCGAGGTGGATTGTGTGGCTGGTCTGATCAGAATAAAGCATTCGATCCCGTGTTTGTGCAATATGTGTTGGACCTGTTTTGCTGTGGAAGTTTTGTTGGTTGGATCTAAGGACGACAATGAACTTCGGGAGATGCTGCAGAAGGTGGCTTGCAAGGACGAGAATACCCATGAAGCCCCCGAGGAGCCTACGACGCCGACAGTCTCTTGCTTGCAAAAAGGTTCAGGCCCTCAATCAAAGCAAGAATCAGTTTCGTTAGCAAGAAGCATCAGTCGTTTGTTTACACGTAAAAATGTGTGTGTACAAGAAATGCAATGTGACTTTCAGTTGTTTGTGTGTCTATATCAGGTGCCGGATGAAGAGATGGATCATGTGATTTCGAATGATGTTTATTGGCGCCATGCGAACGATTTGGGTGAGGTCGGTGACTCTACTTTTCCGGAAACGCAGCTTGATGTTGATATCGAGTCCGCCCATGAGGAGCTTGATAAGGCCTATCAGAAGGAAAGTGTGCCTGCTTTGGCTGCAGCCGCAAAGCCCATTCGGCCCTCGGTGGCGCCACGGTTGCGGTCGAAGCCCAGCACAGCTCCGGAGCCACGTTCGCAGGAGCCAAAGCCAAGCAGTGTTCCGAAGCCAAAGACAAGCACAGATCCGTCTGGGTCAAAGCCAAACAGTGTTCCGGAGCCAAAGACAAGCACAGATCCACAGGGGTCAAAGCCAAGCAGTGTTCCGGAGCCAAAGACAAGCACAGATCCACAGGGGACAAAGCCAAGCAGTGTTCCGGAGCCAAAGACAAGCACAGATCCACAGGGGGGGTTAAAGCCAAGCAGTGACGAGCCAAAGTCTGGGAAGGCTGAGGTTGCAAAGACCACGAATCGGGCCCCCAAAACTCCCAGAACCAAGAAGACTTTTTCCTCGCCTGGAAGTGAGTCCAAGTCAGCTTCGGCTGCTGATACACCAGCAGAGTCCAATGGGGTTTCTTGGTGGCGATCTAGATATGCATGATCTGTTCATGTCTACGTATGCATCAGTTGTAGAATAAGTGTTCCAAGTTGTTTTGTTTGAGGTACCTTCGCGAAAGCCCGTTCAGATCACCCGCCAGCAGTTTCGCAACATGGATGCAAAGCTCCGACGATGGTGTAAGCCATCGGCGAAGCGAGGCACTTTGCAGGTATCGACCGAGGTGGCCGAGAAGTGGAAGTGCACAAAGTTTCGTAAGATCTTGCTGGGAAACCTCATTCAATGCAACGGAGACCAGGATCGAGTGTGTATACATCAATGCATTTCCATGGTGAGTTTGAGGTGGGTCTAGTTGAGTATTTTCTGCGAATTTGTGCAGGACAAGTTCAATGCCAGAATGGAAGTCATGATCAAGCAGAAGAAAGAGGGGAAAGTGGAGATCGTCAGTGGGTTTTATACGGAAGAAAAAATGAAGACTACGTTGGGCTTCTCCAAGCAACCTGGCTATTTTATCATTAGCCCAACCCAACATGGTCATCATGAAGCTTTGCAAAGATTCGGATTGCACATGTGTATGCAAGTCTAGCTCAGGGACCGGGTGAAGGCGGTGAGGGAGTACTGCCTTGCCTCGCGGGAGCGACGCAAGACGCTCGTGAGACGTGATAAGTACCAGAAGCAGATCCGTGAGTTCTGGGTGGATGTCCAGACAAGTGGGACTTTGGCAACCACGAACACCGAGGAGTTTTCGTTTTGCTTTGAGATCATCGATCCGACGTGTGAGTTGCCCGGGCCGGTCCTGGGTAAAGAGCCAATGCCAGCCTACGACGGCACGCTAGGTGAAGACGATGAGACAACGGAGGAGGAGGATAATGAGGAGGATGGCCCGGACTCCAAGGAGGAGGTGACCCCAAGCAAAACCGGGAAAAGGAAGCGCCGCAGAGTCCGCTCGACCCCTAGATCCACCCCCCGTCGTGGCAAGGAGATTCAATCAAAAAAATCAAAGCAGCAGCTTGATGAAGAGGAGGAAGCTCTTGAGGACTTTCGGATCGCGATTCCACATGCGAGTGGCTATGTGTGCAATTATAAACCTGCTCTTATCCACGACCCATGGAAAAATCGCACACACTTAATCATGTCCACGTGTTGCTCATATGGTGTTCAGTATGCACGCATACATGCATATATAATCTCATGTCACGTATGTACATGTGTGTCTGTGTGTGTGTGTGTNNGGGGGGGGGGGGGGGGGGGGGTGCTTATAGTGGTCTCTCGATCGTAAGCTGTGGGACTATAAAACAGTACCCACCAAATTGAGCCTTCGTAAAGTCCTGTGTTGACCTCCATCGCAAATAAATACTCGAATAGAAGAATGCAACGAACAAACCAATAATCCTACTCTGTATATGATTCCATGGTCTATCATACACGTACTTAACTCCTATGGGTACCCCGTAAAACCATCTATATATATATATATAAACCTGTAGTAAGTTATGGTCAGATAAGCCACAAAGTGGTTGGTTTCTTAGCCAAGGCCGTTTAAGTGTTGTTGTTTATGCCAAAAGTCCCAACACCCATTCCTTTTTTTGCATTCTGTATCCCACAGCAGGACTTGGAAAAGATTCCGGAGTTGCTCACCGAGATTCTGAAGTCACGAATCAAGGTGGACAATACATTAGACCAACTCAAGCAAAGTAAGTCTGATGAAGCGAAACAGTGCCCTGTCTTGGATGAAATCAAATCATTCTTTGTGGATTTCCCCAATGCATTTACACAGTCAGCGATTCTGTCTAAGGTACCTGAAGAGCTTGAAGGAGAAGGCCGACTCCCTGATGAAGCTTCATGACGAGCTGGCCGAGATGAAGGCTGAGAATTCTATGAAGAAAGAGAACCTGGGTGACAATTATGTTTGTTTTAAAAGGATGCAATGTCGCAGCTTTGTGTGCGATGTTCAGAAGCCATCGATCGAAAGTAAGGGCCACGGAACTGTTGAAGAAGAAGATGATCGAGGTGGAAAAGTTGTGCCTCTCCTAAACTTGAGTGCAATGTTCTGTTTGTGTGTGCATATATGTTAATATATTTCCAGATGTGCATCAGGTCAAGTCGCATTGTTATGGAGGAGCGAAAATGCAAGCGGCCTCTTGGACATATTTGGTGAAGTTAAACGCAGCACATGTTGAATTTGATTGTCCATGGGGCTGATGCTACAATAAGGACTGTTCTGCGGGCCAAGCCCAAAGCGAAGAGATCCAAGCCGGCAAGCGACGATGACGAGGGTAAGGGCCCTGGCGAAGAAGGAGATTTTTCTGATGAGGAGCCAAAGCCCAAGCCGCGAAAAACCGCAGCAAAGGCTAAGGCCAAGGGTAAGGCCAAGTGCAAAGCCAAGAAGTGATCGACAGTGATTGCAACGAGTGTGGTAGCGCAACCTGTTTCGTGTATATAGGTGCAATGAACCCTTGATCGATCATGGCTTGGAGTGCAATTTGCATCTTTGCAGTTGTCTTTCGGGAACACATGCAGATCCTTTTTGACCACATGTGTTGAAGTACACGGTGTGGCGACAAAGGGCTGTGACAGCTCAGGATGTCGAGCTTAGATTGCGGCTCATCGGGTATCCGTGCGGGGGTTGACCAGTGACGCATGGGATGAAAATATTGTGTTTTCTGTGCGATCATGCCTATAATCGCCTCCTATACGGCAAAACCCATGAATAAGATCATATAAAAATACCACATGTTGCCGCAGGTGCGAAGATCCCCGTGGTCAAAGAGAATGGTCCTGCCGCTGTGGCATTGGCCAAAGCCCGTGGACTTGGGGCCCGAAGTTGTCAAAACAATATTCTCGATAATCTAATTGAGCTGCTTTATTTGGGCAATTGGGATTTATGACGCTGAAGCCTTGGAAAGCTCCTTAATCGTTTGGTATGCATGTATTGATTATATTCTATGTTGCGAATGTATCGGTCCACATACACAGACAAAGTCGGTTCAACTATAAGGATGTATAAACTTTTTTTGTGTAGAAGAGAGTCTGTGTAACTGTTTTGCACCCGTGTTAATTTGTGCATGTTCTGGATGACTATGGTTTTGGTTTCGCATGATGCAAAATATCGCACCCATATGAACAGCGTAAGCCGCTTCCGAACATTCGTTAGGTATACTACGTGTATATATAGGTTCCATCTTCCCTGTCAGGTTTCGGACCGAATGGTATGTTCTTTGGCTTCTGGATTCTATGAAGAATGCAAGGATGTGGATGCTGATTTGGCGGATGATTTAGCAAGCAGCTCATTGCTTTCAAACTTGCACCGGTGTTCCAGAACAAAACACGAAAACAAAGCCAGAGCTGAGTTCACTAAGCAGGGCCTCAGTTGCCCCATTGGCACCACCATGATTGATATTGGAGAAGACGTCAATCATCCGATATTGAGTATCACTGAATTCTTGAAAGTCTTGGCCCTTCATGACAAGCTCCCGCTGCTCTGGGGTGGCAGAGGCAAAGCTTCAGAGATTTTACCAAGGTTTTGGCGCCATTATCGGCAACACGAAGGTTCACACTGTGTGTTCAACGATCATAAACACCGGCTTGACAAAGTGCTTCCTTTGCTGCTTCACGCAGACGAAGGACAAACGCTGAAGAAGACCGGGATTATGGTGGTGAGCTGGCATTCGCCAATGGGGGCGGGCACCAGCAAGTATACTGATCCCAACGGCTTGAATTTGAACTTTCTCGGAAACAGCTATGCTACAAGATTTTTGGCAACAGTTTGTTTGAAGAAGGTCTACCAGAAGCATCCAGAAAAGTTGGACAACATCATATCTGCCATCGCCGAGGAGCTACGTGATTTGTATCATGCTGGCATTGAGGTGGTGATCGGGGATCGACGTGAGCAATTTTTTGTTGCAACAATTGGCTTCAAGGGAGATTGGCCTATCCATGCCAGAGTTGGTCGCCTGCAGCGGCATTTTTGCCGCAGGGGTGTTTTCAAGGTGAGCGACAAGAGTGGCATTTGCCACCTATGCCGTGCTGGAGAGATCGGTTTTCCTCCCCACGATTTTGGCCCTGGTGCAGCTTGGAGGAGCACCGTATTGACCAAAACACCCTGGACGACACCAGGACCTTTGTGTGTAATCCCGCAATCCCCCCACCAAGAGTTGATGCACAAGTTCGATGCATTCCACACCTTGCATAAAGGATGCTTTGCGGAATTGGCGGGAAGTGGCTTAGTTCCTTGTTGCATGAATATTGGGGATGTTTTTTTTGGTTCATATAAGATTAAGGTGGTTGGTGCCAGCATGACTATATATATGTTTGCAGGTGGTCATCCTGGACTATGATCTTGTTGGGCCGGATGGAAAGGTCGAAGTCAAGCTGGAAAGGCTTTATGGCGTGATGTCATCTTTCTGCAAGGCCAATGGGATTCCCTTGCATATGGATGCACTGACCAAGAATTCACTGACATTTCCTCGGGATTCGTGTTATCCTGTGGGGTTCTTTGCTCGTTTAGTAGAATTGTTTCTTGTGTGGTATAGTCATAACTGAGAGCCGTGTAACCCTTTTGTCAGTATGAAAGGTTTTTGCAGCTCAGGAGCTGGTTCAAGGGAGCCGACACAACTGCCGTGTTATATTTCCTTGAAGATTTCTGGGGAAAACACAAAGCTGGTCTGTCTCAGCCAGATGACTACGTGGACTCCATCTATGATTGCTGCAAAAGTGCCAATACCTTCCTGTCGCTCTTGTATGGAAGTGGCCTGTTTTTGGAGTTGAGTGTAACTCGACAAGCAGCCCAAGCAGGGCTGGACTTCCTGCGCTCGTATACGGAGTGTGCACAGCTTGCATACGACCGAAAGCGTATGCGATTCAAGATGAATCCAAAACTTCACGCCATGATACACATGACTGATGTGTTGGTTGCAGCTTGCGCTTCACAACGACGGCGCACATACAACTTGCTTGCCGAAAGCACGCAATTAGATGAAGATTTTATTGGAAAGGTAAGTGCTCTCTCAAGAGCCGTGAGCACAAAGGTTTGCCATATGGAAACCATGTCAAGATACATGGTGAATG